TGTAATCAACAGCAATATGAAATCTTTAGCAAATGTTAAGGTGTGGCTGGTTCATCTCCATTTCAGGTCATAAACTGTTGGAGGGTTGGGTTTTTTTGTTTTGTCTGCCTTTTTTCCCCTATCCCACCCTCTCCTGCAGCAGGAGGAGCTCGGAGATGGGGATTAAACTCTTTGGTTTTTTCCAGTTAGAGCAATGCTGTTTCTGCATTGTGAGCATCATGGTTATGTTGAAAGACTTGTTTAGAAGAGGCAGGCTTTAGGAAGGTGTCCAAAAGACCATCAAATTCAGAAATGTGTTTCCAGTCCAAACTTGTCAACAGAAAATATGTCCCTGGTTCTCGTGGGCTTTTCCATGTCTGTATAGGTAGTGTGAGAACCCTGCATCATAAGAAGTCATCCCATGCAAAGGAAACTTCACCACAGTGTACCCAGCATGTTTCTTGTAAAGAGGGTAAAGATCATTTTTAAGCTGTTTCAGTTTCTGTTGGTGAAACAATGGAGGAGACTGAGAGGGTTGGACTGCTTTGTAACAAGACTCATTTTCGTGGAATTGTGCTGTGCTCGACTTGATAAAAGCAGTTCTGCAAGTGAAACCGAGCTGCGTTTTTTCCTTTTCAGTTAGCAAACGTGTGTTACAAGTGTTCACTTCCACCTGTGGGTGTACATATTTTTGTGTTCGTAGAAGTACTGAAGGAATAGAAGTGTTGTGATGACAAGTGAAATTAAAACAAAATCTCGTTAAGTTAAGAAGGATGCTAATTATATTTCAGTTGTGAATTCAGACAAATAGTCTTAATTTGCACAAAGAACTGAGTGGCCTGAATTGCAGGTTTCTATTAAAAGTACTTTAATATATTTAAGAGATAAAATTAGGTTTTTAGATTAATTGAGTTTGCTGAAGTTCATAGCAGGGAAGGATCAAGAAGAAAGTTTGAGACTTACAGATTTGCCTGGGAGTGGAGTGGGAGAGGGTGGACAGGAAAGCAAAGAAAAAGAAAGCTACTTTCTGCTGCTGAAACTTTTTTTTTTTTTGTCTAAATATCATTGAAAGGTTGCATTTGGGAATTTCCATGCTGCACAAATACATTGATTATATCTTGCGGTAGTTTATTTCATTTTCTTGTGGAAGACTTTTCCTTGTTCTTGCTGAGGTCACCCACTTGCTCAGAATTCTGAGGAGGGCATCAGAGAGTGACAAGAAGACTCTTTAGGGCAAACTTATTTTTTTGTCCTTGGTAATCAAGATTCTGGTCAGTGGGAGAAGGAGGACATTGAACCAGCTTGTGAGGGGAACCTGGACTTAAGGGGCAGACTGAGACGGGGGAAACACAGCCTCTTTGTTGAGCTGACGGACTAGCACCTGTGGAGCATGTTTTTGTTAGGGAAGTAATTTCAGTCAGAGACAAAGGTCCATAAGGGATCCTGGCACATCTTGCTTTTGCTTTCCCAAGGGGCGTGGTAAGTGGGATGTCCTAGATCATGGGGTAACTAAAGGGGAATGAAACTCTGTTGTTAGCCAATGGATCTGCAGTAGGCATAGTCTGTGTTGCCACCTCCATGAGTTTGACCAATGGAAGAATCTGACTCAAGGTGTCAAGCTCATGGCTCTGAGTTTTCCTGTTGTTGTGATCTGTGTGAGGTTCAGGACATTAATTAAATGAGACAGAAGAGTGTTTGTGAGACTGTAAAAAAAAAAAAAAAACCAAACCAAAAAAAACCCAACAAAAACTCTTAATCAGTGTCAGTCTTAGCAGACTTTCACTGGGAGCTTCTGTCCTTTGAGCTGTTGTTGTCATGGCCTCTGCAGCCATGAGTGATAGGGTTGATCCAGAACTTCACCTCAGACCCTGAAGCATGGTCATTAAAGTTCCTTGCGTCTTCTTTGAAACAGCTGTTGGAGATGGGATGCTGGAATTGCTGAAAGATTGGTCTTGAGCCAAATCTCGTTTCACTACCAAGGTTGTCTATGGTTGGAGGTAAAAAAAAAAAAAAAAAAAAAAAGAAATAAAATTTGTGTGCTAGTTATACTAGAGATGGTGCTCCTACATGGAAGGCAACATAGTCATAACTTAGCATAGTCTGGCGTTTCATCCTTTCCATTATTTTGTCCATAATGATACAGTTAATAGGATGTTAGTTGGAAAGCTGGCCATGTTGCAGATCCAAAATACTTACCGTTTCAGGCAGTATTCAATTCCACTTTTTTGGGTATTGCTAAAACATTTTCAACCAGAGAAACTTTTTATTAAGTTGTTATCTGAAGAATGCAGTTGGCTGAAGGAACCCCCTCGATGTTTCAAAATGGATTGATTGTTCAGGAACAGGAACCCCAATTTGTAAGGTTCAGAGTATGAACCTTACAGTCCAGAGTCCAAAGAGTGGTAAAACTAATTGCAGTTCATTAAGTACCCCACAACTACTTTTTCACTCCCTCTTGGAGATGATGGTAAATTTTAAGAGGATTTCATCCCCATTTTTTAAAAACATTAAAGAATGTCACAATCTCCCTTTCTCTATATTCTTTTCATGTAGATGTATCAGTAACATTTAGCCTTTAACTGCTGTTGCATTTTCTGCTTTGGCATGCTTCTTTACCTAATCAAATGCCATAAGCCCAGAGCACTATGGCTGTAGAAAAGTACAGTCTCAAAGTAGATTTTGATTTAGTCTATAACTGGAGTAGCCTCTTTCTCCTGCTTATTGATGTGTGAATTGGAAAAATCCTGTTTCGTACAGTTTTATAATGAGTGTCAAAAAAGTAGGTGTTAGGGTAAAAGAAGGTTTGATCTCACCTGACACATGTTTGTTTCAAGGGATAGTTTGGTAGGAGGTGGTTTGGTTTTTTTTCCAAGAAGGGAACAGACCAAGCATATTGCCAAAACAATTGTAGAGATGAGGAGATGTACAAGCTTGTACTTGTACAAGCTAATCATGAAGGGATGATTTTGGGGCCAACAGATGATCATTGCTTTTCCTTGAGATCTTGCAAGCAGTCAGAGCGAAACCAAATGTCTGCAAGTTTCAGGCCCACAGCATGTCGAGCCATGCAGCTGAACAGAGTGGCATTTGCTTCAGCCAAGACTGAAGGTAGCTAGAAGTGACATCTGATGAAGATCTTTTCTTCTGGCCATGTGCTTTTGTGCTAATAGACCACCAAATAAATATTCAGGTAACAGAAGGGAGGCTTGTTTAGAAGCCTTTTCTGCACAATGGAAATTACCATTACTGGTGTTGGGGGTCAACAACAGCTTTTCGCACTTCTTTTGAAGTCACAGTTGAAATCTGGGCTTGCAGCAAAACTTCATGAAGTGCAGAGCTGCATGTATTGTCGGCATCCACTGTCTGCAGAATAAGTAAGGGCAAAGCCAAAGGCTATGTGTAGGTGCATGTGCAGTCTTCAAGATGGGGTTTGTCTGGACATGAATTACATCAGCCTTTGGGAATGCTGGCTCCAGGAGTGGTACTAGTCTTTTGTACCATTTAAGGAAAGTATCTGGTGTGTTAATACTACCTTTAATTTGGTAGGAATCATACCTCCATTGATTTCTATCAAAAACATGAGCATAAAGTTATAACGATTGAAATAATTGTAATTCAAGAGGGTGATCAGAGCACCTGTTGTTTGGGTCTGTCAGGCTCTGCAGTAAATAGAATCATAGACTCATAGAATTGCTGAGGTTGGAAGGGACCTTTAAGATCATCAAGTCCAACTGTTAACTAACCTACCCTGACAAAACCACCTCTAAACCATGTCCCCAAGTACCATGTCTACCCTTTTTTTAAACACCTCCAGGGATGGCAAATCCACCACCTCCCTGGGCAGCCTATTCCAATGTTTAATAACCCTTTCAGTGAAAAAAAATTTCCTAATAGTCAATCTAAACCTCGTCTGACATAACTTGAACCTGCTTCCTCTTGTCCTATCACTTGTCAGAGGAAAGTCATCCTGCCTGAGCTAGCACAACTGTGGGAGGGATCCAGTTTGCCCAGCTGCAGCATCAGGTCTAAGCTAGTCATCTAAATTCTTTCTATAATTAAAGAGAGAGGTATCTTCATGGAGTGATTCATCCCACCTACCTTGGAAAATGGTGACTCATTCTCTGGAACTGCCTGTGTGTCACCATTGACTATATAGAGAACCTGGACAGTGAGTTGAGATCAGATACCTGCCTCCTATGCAGTTTAAGTGAGATAAAACCCGTTCCATAAGTAATAAGAGCTCATACCTATGTTCTTAAGCAGTCTTGGGTAATTGGTAGGGCTGGCAATTAAATCAAAAAGCTCAGACTGATCTTCCCCATCTCTTTTATTGTAGTATGACATACACGGGAGGTCTTAAAAGGCATATCCTATTAATGCAATTGTAGTTGAATGAGATGGTACCACTAGCAAATACAGACCTGCAGTTAACATGTGGTAGATTTTAAAATAGTTCACTTTTCCTGCATGCTTGTTGCTAGCTTTTTATAGAAACCTACCTCACATAATAATTTCACCCAATGGAAAAAGAGTCCTACATCCTGATCTTTTAGTCGTGGTTATAACTCTTCCAAACAGCATAATTTTGAAAGTTTAACTACAGAATAGCAAGCGTATTAACAAATGCTGTCTGATATTCAACGTATCATATACCTTCCTTTTTCTTAATAGCACCGAGCCTTTCAGTAAACATGTTAACATATATTTCTTACAGCTATCCTACACACTCACTAAGTGCAGACCTGAAGTCAGTCCTTTTCAGTATAAGCTCATTTCTTTGTGCTTCTGCTCTGACTGGCTATTGCTATGACTAGTGCTGGGTGAGGTCCAGCAGAGGATCATATTCTTTTGCTAGTTCCAGTAACTTTAATGTGAAAGCTAGTAATCAGAAGTTAAATTTACAGTTAATCTGAGAATGGTACCTGCCTGTTGGTTGTGATTTGTGCTGTGTAAAAAGTTTGATTATTTATGCTGATTATTTTGTTAATTTTTTAGATGTGGACTTAACTGATGTTACAATGTGCAAAATCCCTCCACACCTGAGGAAAAGAGCCCTCTGTAAGTATAATCAGTGTCAGTAAATTAAAAATGTATCATTAGGTGAGATATTAACACTGCAATTTAAATGAATAGTTGGGAACTTAGAGAGACTTGGAAAATTAATATTAGTAATATTTAAACAGAAATAGTTTCAAAACAAAGAAAATACCTGGCCCTATTTTAACTTCTCAAGGTTTGAACCTTTTTAAGGATGTCAGCAACTAGAGATTTTAGCTGAAAAACAACTGGACTCTTTAACCTAACTGCTGTCTGACCTGTACCTACGTGAACATGGTAGTTATTCTCTAATAAGGTATTTGTAGGATTCGAGGGAAAGGGCTATGGCATCCTGTCTAAATCTCTGCAAGCACATTTTGTCAGTGCTCTTCTGCTTCATTGGGCAGTTAGCTTTAATGGACTTACAAACCATTAAATGCCACATTACATAAAGAACAAATCAAGGAAAACCTATTGCTGAGAGAAGGGGAAGAAATTAGAATGGAAAGACTTGGAAACTGGCAAAGAATTTTGAGGGAAGGTTTATTTGACCAAATCTTAGGACATTCAGTACTATTCAAGAAAGACTGGTGTTTCACGAGTCAAATGGGGGGAAGGAAAAAAAAAGAAAAGCTTTTTTACTGTGAGTGAGCAAACTTTGGAACAACCAGGTTAGCCAGAGAAGTTATGGCCAGAGAAGTCCATTCTTGTCCAAAACCAACTGGACGCAGTCCTGAGCAACTTGCTCTAGGCGACCCTGCTTTTGAGCAGGGGAGTTGGATTATATGTACTCCAGAAATCCCTTCCAACCTCAACTATTCTGTGATTCCATATGAATTGGAAAACTGCCTTCTCTAATTTTTGACTGTCATAAATTCTATCTATAAGCATGGTGTTGTTTTGTATGCTGTCACAGAATTTCAAAGCTTTGGGGACAGGATGTTCATAGCTATCAATTTCTGCTTCTTCTGCTCAAGAATTCCTTTTTTTCCTATTTGGGAAAAATGGCTTATGACACTATAAACCTGAGTTGAATCACCAAGGCAAATTATTAGTTCTGAGTTCTGACTGGCCCATCTGGTGGACATGGCCCAAATTCCTTCTTGCCTAGTGTGAGCTCCCCTTTTAAAATCTCATTCTTAAGCTCATGTAGATGGCCAGGGTTGTGTTCAATTCAGTTGTCTTAGATGCGTAACTTGCATCTGAATTTTAGATGTCCAGTGAACTAGTGCTGGCTGGTTAAGAAGATGCTTGAGTTGAGCTCTCTGTGGAGAGTGAGATTCTTTTGAAGTCCTCCAGAGGGAGATGCTGACTAGTTAAATTCAGAAACTTAAGTTAGGCAGGTTGAATGTTCCTTTGGAGGCCTTCAGACAGTTTTAAAATGCCTATTTAAAACACAAGTAAAACCTAGGTGCTTTATTTAATTAGAATGCATCTTGCCCATTGTTAGGACCATCAACCTAAAAGGAAAAAAATATGCTCCCATTATGCAGCATGGTTCAAATGTTTTGTAAAATGAATGAGGGGCTACTGTGAAGGTATGAGTCACTGTATTACTACCTTTCGTGTTTATCAGATTTAACTCCTTATCTCACTTCCTAAATGAATGGGGTTTGTCATAATAGTATGAAACAAATACAAAAGTTCTGTAACTGCGGTGCTAATGTGCCTGACGGAAGGAACATTCAAATTTATCAGCCAAACCAAAACACCACATTTAAAAACGTAACCAAATTTTCTGTAGGCTCTGTGTTTCTTTCCTACTGTAACTTTCACTTTATAGGCATTGTGAGGGGAAGAACAACTGTCATGGATGTCTGTAGACCAACGAAGCGTAGGGTGAAGGAAAAGCACAGACACTGCCATGTGGCACAGAAGCAGGCTTCCCCTTTTCCCTTTTTTTTTTTTTTTTAACATCTTCATCCCAGAATTTCAGCCTTGCTCTGGCCCAATGAGTTTTATTTATAGTTTTCAATATCTTTTTCTCATGGCAGTAGAGCCTAGAATGACACAGTGTGCTGACGCTAACAACGTTTTTTGCCCTTTTGTTCTGCATTCTGCCGACCCATTGTCCCTTTGTCCTTATCCCTTGTCCTACCTCTGCAGACAGAGGCCCCATCTGACAAATTTGCTTGTGCTCCCCAGGGATTATGAAAACCAGGAAACTTCATTAAGGATGGTTTAATAACTTAAACAAAGGAGAAGAGCAGCTGGTCTGTTAACGAGTCTCTCTCAATCCCCATTCTCTGACAGAAGAGCCTTTCTCACATGTGGTACAGTCTTCAACAATTTGCAGTAAAATGCTACAGATGTACATGCAAATTGAGTTACTGTGCATTGGATCTGCCTTGAGCATTTTATTTGAATGACCTGAGGTAATTTTATGATAGTAGGTTTGCTGCTGTTAAAAAGAAGAGTAGCTGATAGTGACCTAAAATTCTGATGTATGTTTTTCTCTCTTTATTGTTTAGCATGGTTATGTTAGAGGAATAGCAATTGGAGACAACCTGCTGCATTCTGCTACTCTGTAAGACAAACGTCAGTAAAGACAAGCAGCAAGAAAAGAAGGGTTCTTCATGACAAAATGACAGCAAGAGAACACAGTCCCCGCCATGGTGCAAAATCCCGCACCGTGCAACGGGCCTCCACCATTGATGTCACATCTGACATGCTAGGTCTTTCTCTAGCAGGTATGTACCTTCATGTCAGCTATTGCGCTGGTGCTGCTTTCAGAATCTACCTTGCACTACCGTTGTTTTTTTCTTTTAATTGCTAGAAGATTTGGATGTGTCTGGTTACCTGGAGGGTATGAAATATAGGAATTATACTAAAAAAAAAAAATAAATCTTAAACTTACTGTTTCTAAAATAGACAAAATGTTAAAATTGGAGAGGGAAGAAAAAAAACTAAGAAATTAAAGTAGATTTTGTGCAGTTACATTTATCAGTCAAAAATAAGCAACAGGGGGGGAAAACAACAAAAGAATGTCAGGGTCTAGAAAGAGTCTTGGCAACCTCCTTTTTGACATTGTATAAAATTTTCAAGAGGGTTCAGGGATCTGAGAATTATCTCCCTCGTCTTTAATGGTGAGTAAATTAGGATTGTAACCCACAGAGGCTTTTCTTAGATTAGTGGGAGAGACAGGTACTTTCAAACTTCTCCCTATTCACTGATCACCGAGGAGTCATATCTGATTCAATAATTTGGAGTTAATAGTGGCTCAGACACTAAGTGGCTTTAATTCTGTTGTTTTCTACTGAGATTTGGCATTTTATATTCCCATATTCCATATAATCTTGCATAGTTTTACATATTTTAATATGGTTTATATAATGAGTTCATCTCAGCTTTTTAAAATCATTTTTAGATATCAAAGATTAGTTAATAAATATTTTAAATACCAGTCATGGCTCTTTAAATTAATTATTTTTTTCTCTATAAAATTTAATTTCTTTCTCTGTATGACTGCAGCTTCAGGAAATGATTCACATGACAGCAATGTTTGGCTAATCTTGTGTTAATTTTTCTGATTTACAGGAAACATTCAGGATCCAGATGAGCCTATTTTAGAGTTCAGTTTAGGTACGCTTAGTGATTTTTATGCTAATTTTGATGATACCTGCTATTGAGCGTGTGTGAAGTTTCTTAATTGTTGATTTTGAAGTGCCTTTCATATAGTAAGGATTGAAACTTTACTTTGATTTTTATGGAGATGTGGTACAGTTTTCTTGCTGCCTGTACCAGTATCTTTTGATAAGCAGCCAACAGTTTCTTTTTGTGATGTTTTTAAAAGTCTGTAATTAAAACATCTGCCCTGTAAAATTTTAAATGTTTGCTATGTGAATGTTAATTTTAAATGTTTATTTTGTTTATGTGAAGATACAGTGATCTTTGGTCTCAGTGTATCAGCAGTTCAGGTCTTCAAGCAAAGGGAAGATTTGCTGCAAACACCATTTTAGGACAGAATATTTTCTAAGAGTTACCAGCTTTTACACATGCCTTCTTACCTGTGGTCTTTGCTGTCAAGTAATATTGTGAGATGCAGAACTGACCTAATTTCTGAGATGGTTAAATTTGGACAAGAAGATTGTGCATTGACTCACCTCACTTGAAGAATAAATGAAAAATATTTTCTTCATGAAAATTCAGTCCATATTTTCAACTGTGGCTTGGTTTTCTTGGCTTGATAAGGCACTAATATTTGGAAGGCTGTGCTCTTAACACTATGTTTGAAATGAAAAATTAGAAGATTTTGTCATATATATATAATTGTGTTATGAGTAATAATCTTTACAAGAACTCCTTAGAGCTGAATAAGGTACTTCAAATATTTTCAGATAAATTAAAAATATCTAGAACTGCAAAGCTGTTTAGTGTACATTTATACATTTTGCTTGCCCAGGTGAATTTCAGAATTAATTTTCTGCACTTAGCTGAAGCAGAGTCGGACCACACTGTAGTTACCTGTATCTAGCTAGCTAAAATTTGGCTCTGAATTTTAATGTAATTGTGTAGAGTCACTCACTGAAATTTTTGGTGGTTGTTTCCTATTCACCATAGTCCCTTCCCAGCAGTTAAACTCAGAATAACATTTTAGAGGAAATAAATTGCTGTCCTTTTACAATTATGAACTAGTTCTCCTCATAGTAGTGCTGCTTGATCAATGTTCAAGCACTTCTATTGGTTCTTCATTGCAAAATGCCATTTGGTAATGGGCTTAATGGAGCATGACTTCAAATCAAATGCAGCCATGCTCATGAGATTCCCAGACGAAAACCTATGCATGTACGCTGTTCTAATGAGCTGTGCCAGGGGAGTAGATAGGCAGGTGTTTGTAGAGAACAAGTTTAAATTACATCTCTACAGCTTGGAGCCAGACTGATCTGATTGCACACTTACTATTTGCATGCACAAAGGTGAGTGATGTCTGCCTTTATAGTGTGGTGGTAGAATGAATATTAGGCCCCTCATGGCTTTATTGCTCATAGTATATAATATGCTTTTATAAAAACAGACTCTTACATCAATATGAAAGAGATCCCGAATCTAAATTTATTTATCTATTGCATACCTAAAGCTTGCAGTGAGCTGCTAACTCCATCGCTAGATCGAAAACCAAATAGTTTTGTAGCAGTGAGTGTAACTACACCTCCTCAGGCATTCTGGACGAAGCATGCACAGACAGAAATTATTGAGGTAAGTGGAGAGGTATGCCTGGATTAGACTTAAAATTGAAGCTAACACAGGAAGCATTTCTTCCTAATAAATATCACCTAGCATTAATTTTTGCCTTTTTTGTTTATGATTACAGGGAACAAGTAATCCTATCTTTCTAAGCAGCATTGCCTTTTTCCAAGACTCTCTTATCAATCAAATGACACAAATCAAACTCTCCGTGTATGACGTCAAAGATAGATCTCAGGGAACAGTAAGTTTTCTTTATTCTGTTGCCTGCCCAGTCAGTGGGGAGCAAGGAAATGAAAGGCAAGGAGATCAGACTAGTAACTTTTGTGGAAGAAAGCAAAGGGTTAGCAGCATTGATCCTAGAGAAGGCAAGATGGGTAGGAGAAGGAGGGACAAATGCCATGGTACAATGGGGAGCATTGCCAGTTTTCTCAAATAAGGCTTGTCTGCAGCAAGTTTGGGAACCGCTGATTTAAATTAAGAGGTCCTGTCACTGGTTCTCTTATGTTGTGAACCACTTTACTGAACTAGATAATGAATGGGATACAACACCCCTAACTGAGGCCTCTAACCTGTGCCAAAATGTCGGGCCTGTTGGGCCCATAAAAAAAAACAAACAACCAAACAGTCCTTTTGAACAGAGCTGCTAAATTCCAGAAATTGCCCTGCCCTTAGTGATTTTGTTCAGGGGTGAGGTTTGTTCCCTTACTGAAAAAAGTTTAAGTGCTAGCCCTCCCACGTAACTACTTGGATTTGTGGGCAACTTAGATGATTTGTTCTCATACTGTTGCCCACAATACTGTTTCAGGCTCCACATACCTGCTTTCCCATGGCTTCCTCAGGGGCAGTAAAGCTGTCTCTCTCTGTACAGTGCTTGATGGGGAGGCTCTGGGGAAAAAGGACTGGAGGAGGTAAGTTCTTCAGGAGGAGCCAAGTTTGGGTCAGGGAGGGACTGTGAAGTGTTGACCTAGTCAGTCTGAGCCCCATTCGGTCATTGCTTTCAGTGTTCCTGTATTGCTGGGCTTAAACTTGTATATATTGAGGTGCCTCCAGTGAAATCTTAGAGAAAGAAAAATGCTTATTGTCTTCCAGTAGAAAAAGGATTTTTGATAAATTACCAAATTTATTAAATTTTAAAGGGTTTTAATTAGTTATGTGTGGGCATATGTAATTATATTTTTGTTCTCAGACTTTTGTGCATGATAATTGTATTTTGGGCTTCAGTGCTGTGGACAAAGTCTTTGTTCATTGTAAAGGTAAATAATTACAATTCTGGTGCTCATCTTTCAGATGTATTTGTTGGGTTCTGGGATGTTCACTGTAAAAGAACTCCTTCAGGAGAGGAATCACAGGTTGCACTTAACACTAAGGTTTGTAATATTCTCCTCCATTTAGGAATTAATTCTTAATTCTTGAAAGCATGCTTAAGATGTGATAAAAACTGTCCCTGAGATGTGATGAAAACCTTTTGGTTGGTTGGTTGGTTTTTTTAGTTCCAGGCCACTGTTAAGGAAAAACTATTTTGTATTGTGTGATAATTAAAACATGTAGAACAGGACCTTTGCAACGTGTTAAGTAATGTCAGTCAAGAAAGTATTGTCAAGACCCATTAGACCTTTGCAACATGTTAAGTAATGTCAGACATTGGTTCTAGTTCTACAAGTCAAGAAAGTATTGTCAAGACCCATTTATTTTTTGTGCATTTCGTCCTATCACCTCAGTGTATGTGTCTGTAGAGTGACAAAATACAGTTTTTTTTTAGCTGTGCTGATGTATAAAGAGCCTGTGGTTGGGAGAATGAAACCCATTGAAACAGAGGGTTATCTTAGCTATTTGCAGTACCTTGGCTTTACTGTTTCAACACGTGTCTGTTGCTAGATTGTGTATTTGTTGCTAAATAGTCTATTTATCCATATAATGCACTAGGAATAGGAGGAGTCACATTACAGCAATACTGATTAATGTAATTTTCTAGTTTAATTTATATTGGAAACTTCCACGGAAGGAATGTGACTCAGGAGGGAAGGAAAAAGAGAGTGTGAATCTAATACCAATCCTTAAGGTAGTAGTTCTAATCATAGGAATCAAACCACACTCTTGAATACCAGTGTGAGACAAAGTTAAGTAGAGGGTTGGAAAAGAATGAAGAAAGCAAAGTGAGATTAAGGAAAGAGCGCTCTGATGTGTAAATGCACATTGTAGTAGTATGCATTGAAAGTAGGACAGGCATCCCTGTCAGAGAAGACAAGGGTAAGTCAGTTGAAGGGGGTAAGCATAATCAGAGAGACTGAGGAAGATGGTGTCAGTAGTATCAGCATAATCAGCACTGGAAACAGTGGCTGTGATAAACTTGCAGAAATTTCTTAGCCCGGACACAACTAACAAAACATGGGCAAAGCTTTTCATGCTAAGAAAAAAGATGAATAAGTCTTTTGGCTTTTCCACAATGTGTTGTAAAGAAAAAAAATGACATGATTTAATAGGGAGGAGCAGGTGAGGGAAAGGAGTCAGAAAAGGCAACAAAAGATTGATATTAATGGTGGGTAAAATAGTCTAATTTATCATAGGTGTGAAGATGAGGGTGTTTTGAGGGAGATGAAGAAAAGGAATGTGATGGCAGGAGTTTCATGGTTGTATGTTAGACATAGTTATTCTGTTACATTTATTCTTCCATCACTAAGTTGAAAATGGACTTTATTAAACCCTCTTGTTTTGATATCAAGTATATTCTGATTATCAATGTCTGTGAATACCTACATGTCTTCTCATTGTCATATAACCTGTCAGGTTTGTAAGCTGGATGCTGAGTAATGTCTATAAACATGCTGCATGATTTAGGTACTTAAACCTTTTCTTGTAGTCCTCTTGTGTGCTTATTTCTTTTGTCTCCCCAGAATTGTATGTTCCAGAGACTTTTTTTTTTTTGGTCTTAGTTGTCCCAGCATATTTTTACATGTAAACATCAATCTTAAAGTACCATTTAGAATCTATCTTAAAAGAATAACATAAAGTCTCTGCCAAAATCAGTGTGTCATGGATCAGACATAATAAGTGATAGCTGTGGTAGATTTCAGTGCTGGTGTGTATTTAAAAACCATCAAGATTACAGCTTTTACCCCACTTGATTCTCTGTCTCTGACTCACTCACTCCCCCCCCAGTCATGTGTTCATACGGTCTCAGCTTCCCTCCCCAGCAAGGAGGTGGCTGCTGATCTGGGAAAGTGGTGCAGAAAGTTGTGTCAGTTTGTGCTGTGCAGCTCCTCAGCTGTTAGTGACCTGTCTCAGCTGTTAGTGGCCAGGTCCCTGGGGATCTCTGGCATTTGTTTCCATGCAACTCCCTGATCTCCAGGATCTTCCTCACATCAGGGATCTTTCCTCCATTGAGAAGCTTCATCTTCTTCCTAGAGCACTTTTTAGGATCCTTCTTTTTAGCGTCAGCTTTTCTTTCTGGAATATCAGGCTCGCAGTTTTCCCAATCTAAACAGTCTATCTGCAGATGCAGAAGATGTGATCAGCCTCCTAGCTGGTGGCCTTGACAGACTTCCCAATTAAGTGGAAGATTTGGGATGTGCTACTTCTATTTAGTCCATGCATTATCAAAATTTACCGGTTGCAACTGTACCAGTTGCAGCTAGCAAGTAACAGGCTTCAGGTTGAGAGTTAAAAAGTTTGGTTTCAGACATTCACACGGACAGGCACACACGCGTGTGCGTGTGCATGTACATCCAATTATCTGCTCCCTGTTAATGTTCACAATGTAAGCTGCTTTTGCCTACAACAGGCTAATTGTAAAATCTGACCTCTTTCTGGTTTTACAGAAGTGTTGAAACACGTGCACAGTTTTAGCTTGCCTTCAATTAGGACATCTATACAGCATCCCTGCAGAATGAGGGGAGAATTTTCTTGTTGGAATAAGCAACAAGAAAAGCTTCCTATTTAAAATGTTCATTAAGTTTGAAGATTAATAGTCTTTTATAAGTGTTCCCTTGTTGATAAACAGGTCCACCTCCAAAAAAATCTCAAGGCAGAGTGTTTGTTGCAGGTCGGCTGAAAGTGACCGTGTAGGTAACATTACAGTTATTGGATGGCAAATGGAGGAAAAAACTGATCAAAGGCCTCCAGTGACAAGATCGCCTGATACAATTAATGGAAGGGTGAGTATAAGCATTGTATCAAATTCAGAAAAACGCAGATTTATTGCCAGCATTGAAAAAAGCCGTCAACTTTCCTGTCCATCTTCATATTTAGTAGTGCTTTACAATTTCAAAATACTGTAAAAAGCAGCCTAATGGTGACAAAGCAATTTTTTATTTTGCAGAGCTCTTGGTGCTCATGTTTGGTGTTAAAAGACTTGCGGAAAATTTTAGTTTGCAGTGATTAAGCTTTAGCTTCAGGTGCTTATGCCCTTCATCAGAGTAGGCTTGCAGTACTGTACACTAGTACACTTGGCACACTGATAACCAGTTTCAGAAAGATGTGGTGTTCCAGTTCACATTGTGAATTGGCATTAAGCAAAGCTGTAATGGGGATGCTCAGGGAGTTTCCAGAATTTTCACAGGCAACTCAAAAAATTTTAATAAAACTGAACAGGTTACTTGAATATTGGATTTTTTTTTTTTTTTTTCTGATCCCCAAATACTTATCTGAGGGCAGGTATGTATAATGCTTTCTCAGCCTAGACGTATGTTTAATTCTTTAAACTTTGTGTTCTGAATACCCTGGTGATGATTGCACTCTTATCTGTGTATCACAGTCACAATGTAGATTAGTATAACTTTGTATCCAGCGAGACCTGTAGCTGCCACATATTGGTGCAGTACCTTTAAGGACTCTGGAGCTGTGCTAACATAAAGTAGTTGAAGGGCTGGATGAAAACATTTACAGCATTTTGAACTATGCAGTAGAAGTAAATAGGAATGCTTAGATTGGAGGGTTTAAGTGGATTTATTATTTCAGCCTGCAGTATTTTTTGTCCACAGTAAACATATTTGAAATATTTATTTTAACCACCTGTTATGTTGAATATTTCTTTCAAGTCTGTGTAATCGGGTCATCACTGCATGTTGCCCTGGCACTGAGGTTTTATTCTTTACTATTTGTGGGTTTTGTTTTTGTTTAGACTGTGTTGCCAGTTGATGAAAGTTTAACAGAATCTTTAGGAATCAGATCCAAATATGCTTCACTGCGGAAAGATGCGCTACTGAAATCTGGTAAGCTGCTGTGGGCTGTAACAAGTAAGCTTTAGGCATCAGTAAAAGCTAATCTCTTGCTGTCTGCCTGTGGCCCCGGGGCATTTAAGCAGATGTCTCATTTAAATAGGAACAAGCTGCTGACTGAGCAGACCTTTGAGGGTCATACAAGAATAAATTATTTTATCATCAGCACTATTTTGTATAATGAAAACAGCGGAAGTGAACTTTTGTCATTGAGATGACTGTAGTATAAAATTTTACGTGCAATTTGGTAGCCTATTCCTAAGCAATCGTTGCGGGATGAGGGAAGGGACAGAGGAAAGCAGTTGCTTTAAAAAAAATAATTTTGAAGAAAGGTTAGTTTTCCAGCAAATGATTGCATGAGAGGAAAATGCACAGTATGTAAAAATGAAGAACAAGTATTTCAAAAGTTGAGTATGTATTTTATTTCTTTACCAGTGTTTTGAATCACTTGGAGGCTTTTCCTGTGAACATTGGAAAAATGGTCATTGCAGAATGACCATGCTTGGAAAAGCTATACCGATACCTGGTTAAACAAGATCTTTACAGCAGTGTGTTACAGCACTTTAGTGAATCAAAGCTATTTACTTTAGAAAAGGAGAGACTTTGTACACTTTTAACTCAAACTCTGTGCTTAAATAACATTATTTTAATTCTTTAGTGTTTGGTGGTGCCATTTGCCGAATGTATCGCTTCCCAACCACTGATGGAAACCACTTGAGAATCTTGGAGCAGATGGCTGAAAGCATCCTGTCGCTGCACATCCCTAGGCAATTTGTGAAGCTTCTTCTAGAAGAAGATGCAGCAAGGTGAGTTTGTGCTGGTTTACACATGCAGTAGTACAGCAGTGACATGGCTGTTACAGAGTTACCAAGGAATAGATCTGTGTTAATGCACAGAGGCACTGAAGAAAGAAACGGTAAAAGCAGCAAGTTGTTGACTCTACAGTTACAGTGAGTAAGATTTCAAGTCAGAGTATAATATTTGAGCTTGAGTGTATGGTAACATGAACATACAGAGGTGCTGATAGGAGAGAATTGTTGGTATAGTGAACATATAAAATCATACTGCAGTTAGCTGCAGTTCGGGGTTATCTCTTCCTCTCGCAAAAGTATTGATAAGGCCATAGAATATATTATTCCATAGTCATGTGACTGTATTAGGACCAGCACATTAGAATACATTATCTTTTTATAGGTATAATAATTTAGATACTTAAATACAATTTAGTTTTTAAACAGTTTATTTTTAAAATAAAGAGGAAAATGAAGTTGAATTTAAAATAAAACTTATCTCAACATTTCATAGGTGGGGGTAAGTCTGGATAGATGAGACTATAAATGACAGAGTAATAACTCCAGCTGCTGAGAATTTTGAGAAAGGAATAGACACAACACAGAAATCAGCTGAGTGGAATGAGTAATTCCAGTACCAGACAGAGAAGAAAAATCCAAATCAGTTTGAAGGTGAACTTTGAAAAAGTCAGTTGACTTCTGTGCTATGAAAGCAAAGCAAAGATAGATGACAGGAGCACTGGCTCCACTCAGTGAGTTAAGAGGTGGCTTTGAGACTCAGAAGAGTAGTTTTGAATGGAAAGCAAACAGAATAAAAGCAAGTAAAATGAGACACTGTAGGACAGCAATGACTTTTTCGCATTTTAGGAGGTGGGAGGGAGAAAGAAATCTGTTAAGCATTTTGTAGATTTATTCTGAATTTGCTTTTTCTTGGAGCAATTAACTCTCTTCCAGGCAACATAGTCATTTGAATTTTACTTCCCTACATTTGTAGGCTGTGGTTTGGAAACATAATGGTTTGTATATTCTTTATAAAAGCCAAGATTGGGATGGTAAAAGATTTTTAGCTGTATTTTTGAGTGTTGGGGTTTTATTTTGGCTGTGTTTGAATCCGCTTCTAGAGACCTAACTAAGCCTGACCTTAATCAAAAGTAAAACTACTTGGTGGTCTTGTTATCCTATATTAATACATTCCAATTCCTCTGGGAAACTGTGAAAGAAAATCATGTGTTGATCCGTATAAGCAGACAGAAGAAGCCTATGGTGCTTTCAGGTATTTTCATATTTTGCAAAATTGATAAATTCTCAAAGGAAGATGGTGGTCGCTTTTTGTAACTCATGGAAAAACTAATGCATGACATAACTGTTTGAGTTTCCAAAGTTCACATTGATATTTTAATTTTTTTGGCTGCTGTTGAGTTTTGTTTTTTAGTGACATGCACTTAGTAAGAGTAGTCAGATCTTAGATTCTAGAGAGTGAATGCTATATCTTGCCTGCTACAACCTTGATGGAGAGGGCTTGGGATGTGCCATTATGCATTTAGACATGGGTTATTCATTGTTTATTTTATATCTTTGGTTTTGTACAGCTTTACTCACAGTATGTTTAAAAGCACCTATTCATTATAAGGTACAGCCATAGTAATGTAAAGAGTTGGCAAGCTTGCCCAGAAGGTGCCATCTGTGATGGATGTAGTTTAAAGATAATAAGAGGAGAATTTGTGGTGAATGGGGAAAAAAGATGTGGCTTTCTGTAGGACTGTGGACAGTGTAGTTTCTTAAGGCATTAGCCATGAAATGTGACCTTTCAGAGGCTCTTGCTAAAATCATATAGAGATCAATGGGTACATATCGTGCACAGTTAAGGGTTAATAACAGCCCAGGTGATTGCTAATATGACTGAATGCTCTGAATTGAGTGGCTCAAAGGACTTTTCTCTAATTAGCGTGAAAGACTCCCTTCTCTCTGTTCAGTTAAGGTGACCCTCAATGACATGTACAATCTCACTTCGTATTCATAGAATCTCTCAGTTTTGGCCAAGCGCTCTATTCTCCGTTCTGTGTGCTGCAGCCCAGAGGACTGCTGGACACAAGCACAGCTGCTTCTGTCTTAACATCCTGGTGACTTTTAAAATATACTTGGATAATCACAACTGCTGTCTCTTACATAAAGCTCTTTTGTGCCAGAGCTCTTTGAAAGGAAACATCTAACCAGGGGGATATTTTGACTACCTAATTATTTAGGTATGCACATCTCCTGCTGTCTTAGCCCTATGGGACAAACAAGTAAACTTGAAGTGCTAAGCTGTGAATTTACTTCAGGGAGACCTGGACTCAGATGCATGGCTAGTTTTGAGCAGGGAGTTTGACAAGGTAGTCATAATAGCATCTTATGCAGAAGCAGTTTACAAGATGAAACTGGAAGTGTCTTTTTCCAAGTCACTGATAAATATAGGTTATGCTGTTGCCTATTGGCAAATCAATCCGATGCTTTTCTTAGAAATTTGCTTCCTTTTGATAGTATCCTAAATACTGTGGAGTGGGAGTTGTTCTGTGAAATGCTGTCTTAAATTATATACAGACAATTGATTAAAACTATGGATCGGGGATATATTGAGAGAACTGCAAAAAGAACTGCTGGATCCTTTTGACAGATGATTGTTCTACCTTTTCTGGGGTAATGTGCTGTTGAACTGTGTCTGGTGTTGACTTGTTTGCTTTTTCCCTTCTTTCTTTATTCCAAATAATATCTTAATCCAAGAAGGCAGTAATACAAGCATGACATGAAATACACTGAATATTTTCTCAGCAGTGCTGTTGGGGAGTAATATGTAACACAGGTTTGCCATGTGTGAGTGAAAACCTAGCAGTCAGGGTGTAATGGGAAAGCCAGGGCTTTTCCTGTTCATATCTATAGAGTACCCAGTTGTCCCTTATTCAACCTACAGTGAAACTGGAATGCCTAAAATCCGGAATTTCAGATGAAGTTTTGTTGGCTCTTCTTTTGTCTCTCCAAATCCTTACTAATGTTTACTTTCCCTGCCTGGCCTTCTAAACTGTTGTGTTTGAGAGCTCCTACAGAAAGGTGGGAAGCTTTGGTTTTCACCAACATCTGAGGCTTCTGCGGGGAATGCAGTGTATTCTGCCTGTGAGGAATGTATATATCTGGGGGTAGAGCTCAACAGCTGTGCTTTGGGATGTGTGTTTGGAAGCATTCCCAGTCTGGTAGACCGGAGTGAATTGAGAATGTGTCAGCTGAGGTTCATGCTATATTGATACAATGTGAAACTTGTTCTTGGTCAAGTGGACAATGGAGCTAAACACCTCTCTTTTTCCTTTTTTTTTTTTTTATTTTTTCCAATGCCCCTAGGGTTTGTGAACTAGAAGAACTGGGAGAACTGTCCCCTTGTTGGGAAAGCCTTCGTCGACAAATAGTTACTCAGTACCAAACAATTATTTTAACTTATCAGGAAAATCTAACTGACCTGCACCAGTATAAAGGTGATTTCTTTTTCACAACGTGATACTTTTCAACTGTGATTGTTAGTGCTTCTCTGAAATTGCGAACCCAGAATGTTTTAGTTTGATGCTATTTTTAGATTTCTTTATTAACATTTATTGTGAGTTTTCTAATGATCTGGCAATATTTGTCTGCTTTATTCATTCTCTTATTTTACCCTGAAAGTAGAGAACAATTATGAACAGTAACAGAAAGATATATCTTCTTTTCTTTTCTCTGCTTTACTTTCAGCACATAGCAAAGGATGAATGAAGCTCCTTGAATGTTGTAGCATAAGCAGAGGGTTTTTATGCTTACTTTTCTCCTGCATTTCTCAGGTCCTTCATTTAAAGCCAGCAGCTTGAAAGCTGATAAAAAATTGGAATTTGTTCCTACGAATTTACATATACAGAGAATGAGAGTCCAGGATGATGGAGGATCAGGTATTTGTTTCTTTCTCTCTTTCTTCACTTTATTCTGTTACTTTTCTCTTCATTTTTTGATTTCCATCCTCAACCATATATCCAACTTTAGACTACTGCTCTGTGTTATTAATGCTACTTGACATTTTTGTAGCACCTTTTATCCTCAGATTCCAAATCTCTTTGCAAAAGAAGAGGTGTAAGTATAATTAATGCTATTCTGCAGGTGGCAAAACTAGGTTCTGGTGTTAACTGTATCCTAGGTGACATAAGTCAGCCTTCGTACTACGGAATAGATTGGATTAAGATGCTGTGTCCCTTCCAGTCATTTTGAATTGTAGCAGAATAGCAAAGGTTCTGACTGTTGTTTGTGCACTTTTTCTCTGCAACCACCTTGTACGGTTATGCAAAATTAAACCAGTTTGTTCACGGCAAGCTTGTTTCTTCATAAATAATCTGTTTTCCCTTCTCTTAACAGTAATTCCCACTAACAATGGACATGCTCTGGTCCCACGTATCCGTGTGGGGGAACCCAGTAATAGCAGGTTTTGTGTAAAAAACAATGTGCAAGGCTTCTTTTTCACTGTCAGTCTCCTAGATTAAGAAACAGAGGACCTGCATTCAAATATAGTTCTTCCACCTCAAAAGTACTTGATGGATTTCCAGGGCCTCTAAAACAATTCGCTTTTCCATGTCCTTCAAAATACTGGCACAAAGTTTTACAAAAATTACTTTCAGAGTAGTGTTTGAATTTCCACAATTGTTTGTCCACAGTAAAGATTACAAGCTTTCATTTGTAAGTCATTTTTGTCCATCCCAGATCAGAACTACGACATAGTCACCATAGGAGCACCAGCAGCTCATTGTCAAGGCTTTAAATCAGGTGGCTTGCGGAAAAAGCTGCATAAATTTGAAGAGGCAAAGAAACAGTAAGTAGAAAAGTTGTTGTGTCAGCTGTTATCGTGCCTTTTCCTCCTAGTCCATGCCCAGTGATTTGGAAAATCACTCCATTCTATGTTGTTGTTGCATTTCATTCAATAGTTCTACTATACAATGTGAAGATTATTCCATGTTTTTTTTCCAAAGGAGAGAGAAAACAGTTCTCCCTTTATATTAACATATTTCTTTGTTTACTGATGGGCTCTTTCTAACAGTCTTTTTAGTGAAATGAATACTTGCTGGTTCATTTAGTTTAGCTATTTTAGGTGTTGGGTTTGGTTTCTGTCTGATTGTGGATTAGAAAATTTGTCTGTAGAACCTCCTCAGATGCACTACATCATGGTTTCAACCCATTACTTTCAAGAGACTTTCACCCCTCTCGTAGCTTCAAGGTCCTCTTGCTGAACTCCAGTACAGAACAGCTGTGCATGATAGGCAAATTCTTGTTGATGACTTGGGTTCTGGGACTATTGCTGGAGACTTTTCTGCATTGCCTCAAGGTTTATACACGGATTAAGCTTCTGAATCTGGCCTCACTCTGCTCTACAGGCAGGATACTTGACCTCCACAGTCCTGTCTTCAGGGACTGTCTAGTGACCTCTCTGGAAGTGCAATCATGTGTATTAGAGGGAAGGACAGAAATTGGGAAGGTCACATATGCTAAAGGACATATGTGCACAGCACCCACTCCAGCTCCCGAGGAAGAGATAATGCTCTCTGGGTCTGCATTACATTTGCTGCAGTATGGAGAATTTAGGGAACAATGAGAGCAGCAGGACAAGGAATCATTGTAGCCAGGGAAAAGGAGACCTTGATGATACCCTTCCAAGAAAGGATTTGTATGATATGGAGCTGGTGGGAGGAGGGAGTGATGTGGAAACCAGTCTCTGCCAACTGCAGAATTAATTTTAGCAGTGGAGAAGTGAATAGCAGCATCCCGTGAACATCAGTCATATATGTACTGATAAAAAAATTGGTGCAAACATATGCCTAGCATAATTATTCCTGACTTAAAGAGTGCACTAGGATGGGACTAGAGGAAACCGTAATCCTGGAAACACTCGTATGCTAGGCTCACTCTAGCTACTGAAGTGGGCCTCATTCCTGCAATATCTAAGTTCCTGTCTCTTCCCCTTCTCCCTGATAATTAAGCTGATTGGAGAGCTTAATTTCTATCCAGTACGTTTCCTCTAAGCTTTACAGAACTGTTCCTTCTGGGTCCATGAAAACTGCTGGTTCAGCATTTGAAGAATAACTTTCCTTTTAAGTACGTCTATGTTATCATAAAAGCCAGTATAGTAGAACTGAGATCCATCTCCTCAGTTTCATTGTTACATAGATATCATTCAGTTCTTTTTCCTTTCATTGGCAAAACTATGCTTGGTGCATCCACAACATTTCCCTGATACAACACATGGGCATCTGGCAATCTGTGTTTTTTTTGCTTACAAGTTTTATTGTTGTGTACCTGCCTTGTTGAAAAGATGACTCAAATAAGTTATTTCCTCAAACATTCTTTGTTTTGTTTTCTGCTTTTGGTATTTGCTAACAATCTGCTAATTTTATTTTGGTTTTTTGTTTTTTTAGCAGTTATGAGGAGTGTTGGTGAGTTTTCTGTTTCTGAGCGTTCTGCAGAGAGGGTTTCTGTTCTTTGGGTTTTATTTTTCTTTTCTTTCTTTTCTTTGGCAAATATGTGGTGTGTTTTAAAGTGTGCAGGGCTTTTTAATGTCATGCATCATGGCATTCCTAATTGTGCTCAAAGTAACTGTATCTGCTTTGTAGACCATGATGTGTGAATGACTTTCATTTCATCTGCAATGTTTGTTTGTAATGAACAGCTAGCTTCCTGGCTCTCTCTGATCATAAATGTTAGAAAGCTGAAGATCAGAGCACAAGAATTTTATATCTTTTCCTCTGTTATTTCCAGTGAAAACTGCCTGGAGAGAGAAACTTTCTGCCAGAGGTGGAACATAATTAAGATAACTCTACGTATTTTATATCTTTACGGTGATAGATTGGGCATGGTTTATATTTTTTGTAACCCATGGCTTCATTTAAACATTTTCACATAACTTTTGTTTATTTTTCTTCATGTTGTGGTGTTCAGTGCTATGAAAAGGAAACATTACTGATGGTTCAACAGCACAGAAATTCTGCTCTAAATTACTCATATTGAAGGTTGAACCCCTAATTCACTGAGAGCTTAAGGCTGTTTTACAGTTTGCTGATACAGTACAATGAGAGCTGTTCATTTGAAAAAGCAATTGCAGGTTGGAAAGTAAATATATGTGAACTTTACACCATAATTTTTCCCCCGATCATCCCAGCAAATGTTTGTGATTAAAAATGTAATAATTTTAAATCAGATTTCAATATGCTGCATGGCCATTCCTGCCAAATATGTCTTTATGCATGTTAACCACACTGTTGTGGATGAAATTGCTCAGAGGAATTGTCTCTAAGATCACTAGTCAACAGAGAGCACAAATCATGTACAGTGAAAGTCCTAAAAGCCAAGATTAATTTGCTGTATGGTGTAGCAGTACTGGGGAGTGGTTGTTCTCTGCTCCACTCAGGTGGGTGACCAGAGGGACACAAATAAGGAAATGCTTTCAATAATCACTTCTGCATTGTATCCTTTGAAAATCCCCCATCTTTTCTTGTAATGGAGCTCAGGCAGATACTGGGATTAAGCTCCCCCCTTGCCTTAATATCAGTTAAGGGACAAGAATTGGTATTTGTGGCAATGATTTTAAAGCATGCCCCATGCAACCCTCCTGTCTTACATCGTAGACGCGCTGCAGAAATTAGCATCATTGCTCTAGGGGTAGCAGAGGAATTCACATTCCTCAGAGGTCATGATCTGAGGTAACTGTGCCTGGAAAAGAAAATCCTCTCTGTGTAGTCTGTCAAGTGTAGCTGTGTCCATCAAACAGTGCTGAGATTGGTGCAGACAGTAGGTTCTTCTGTGCTGTTACAGTGTTGAAGCCATTCATGATTGGAGAAAATGAGTAAAATTAAGATAATATGCAATTGGTGTCACCTCATGCTTGATGCCACGTCATGCATGGGCATCACACTTGTCACAACTGGAGCTGATGTAGAGGCCTGATCTATGTATAGCTTTCCTACTCTGAGGAAAGAAACCATCATATTGACTGGCAAAGGGAGCAGTGGTGGGTTGATTCCAAATAGTTAGCTAAAAGCACAACTTCAGCTTAAAGGAATTTTCTAAGCTAAAAGGCAGCTTTTGTGAACAACTCTTCTCAAGTAGGATTAAATTACCCTTTAGAAGTGCTGTTCTCTCTCCAGCAGTTACAGAAGGAGTCCAAGCATCTGTCTTGGACTGTATAAGCAACTTCTGTAGGCATCTAAACTTAGAGGACATAGACTATTCTCCTCCACTGCCAAGTAAGCAGTCTTAGTGGAGCTGCACTATCCCAATATAAAGATATGTTTAATTGCTATAGTTCATTTCCCTTACTATTTGGGAAAGGACAAAATTTGGTATTGCTTTTTACAGCTGAGTTTATAATAGGGAGACTTGCATCACGTCCTTAGTTTAGTATAAAGTGTGTTGTAACAGAAGCTACACCAAGGACAGAGTCCTTGGATTTAGCCTGGAGATGTACATTGTCTTTTATATGTCGTAAGATTGCTTTTGCTGGTGTAACTTCAATCAAGCCTGCAATAGAGGAAAAAATATACTAACAGAAGGATTTTTGTTAATACATTTTTGTTGTGTTTGCATTACGGATCTGGGTGGCATTTGTGTGTTAGAAGGAGTGCAGATTTTCTTTTCATGGTGCTAGTAGCTATATGATAAAACAGGTTTGTAATCCAGGCCTCAGTGAAGCGTCTGTGTCGTAAGGAGAGGGAGAGTGGGGCAAGCTATATCTGTAAACCGTGGTTCTATCTCTGATGGCAAAATCTATCATCTACATTCTCCTCAGCAAAACTGTCCCTCTGGTATACAAATTCTGCCCACTGTCCCTTGGCACAAGGGATTAGTAGATCTGCATCTGAATGCTTTCAGAAAAGGCAGAGAAGGCTGTAGGATCATGTTCCTGCTGTGCAATTGCCCACTGGCCTTTCACTGTTGATTGCTAGCTTAGGTAAATTTTTGTTGTCTGCCATTAATTCCCCAGCATGCTACTGTAATGTTTATACTGCTAGATCAATTTTTCCCCTAAAATCAGTCTTTCTTTTTCAGCACTTCAACAGGTTCCCAGTCTATAATATACATCCCACAGGACATTGTTAGAGCAAAGGAAATCATTGCACAAATCAACACCCTGAAAACGCAAGTCAGTTACTATGCAGAAAGGCTCTCAAGAGCTGCCAAGGATAGATCAGCTAATGGCCTTGAAAGAACACTCGCCATCCTAGCAGACAAGGTAGGAGAACAATAAGTTTCCACACTGAAGCACAGTGTATTCTTTTTTCTGTATTCCAACAACATTCTCATGGAGAAACTGGCATCTCGTGACTTGTATGGGCATACTCTTCACTCGGTAACAAACTGCTTGGATTGCAGGGCCCAAAGAGTTGTGGTGAATGGAGTTAAATCCAGTTGGCAGCTGGTCAAAAGTGGTGTTCCACAGGGTTCAGTATTGGGGCCGGTTCTGTTTAATATCTTTATCAATGACGTGGACAAGGGGATTGAGTGCACCCTTCCTAAATTTGCAGATGACACCAAGTTGGGTGGGAGTGTTGATCTGCGTGAGGGTAGGGTCTACAGAGGGATCTGGACAGGCTGGATTGATGGGCCAAGGCCAATGGTATGAGGTTCAACAAGGCCAAGTGCTGGGTCCTGCACTTGGGTCACAACAACCCCATGCAGCGCTACAGGGTTGGGGAAGAGCAGCTGGAAAGCTGCCCAGCAGACAAGGACCTGGGGGTATTGGTCAACAGCCAGCTGAATATAAGACAGCAGTGTTCCCAGGTGGCCAAGAAGGCAAATGACATCGTGGTCTTTATCAGGAATAGTGTGGCCAGCAGGGCTAGGGAAGTGAGCATTGTCCTGTACTGGGCACTTGTGAGGCCGCACCTCTGAGTTTTGGGCCCCCCACTACAAGAAAGACATTGAGGTACTGGAGCGTGTCCAGAGAAGGGCAACAAAGCTGGTGAGGGGTCTGGAGAACAAGTCTTATGAGAAGCATCTGAGGGAACTGGGGTGGTTTAGCCTGGAGAAAAGGAGGCTGAGGGGAGACCTTATCGCTCTCTACAACTACCTAAAGGAGGCTGTAGCAAGGTGGGGGTTGGTCTCTTCTCCCAAGTAAGAAGTGAAGGATGAGAGGAAACAGCCACAAGTTTCACCAGGGGAGGTTTAAATTTGGATATGAGGAAAAATTTCTTCACCGAAAGGGTTGTCAAGCATTGTAACAGGCTGCCCAGGGAAGTGGTTGAGTCACCATCCCTGGAGGTATTTAAAAGATGTGTAGATGTGGTGTTTAGAGACATGGTTTAGTGGTGGACTTGATAGTGTTAGATTTACAGTTGGACTCAATGATCTTAAATGTCTTTTCCAATGTAAATGATTCTATGATTATATATTTAGTAGGTTTTCTTGAAACATCTATTTTGCCTTGTTCAGTAGTGTATTGTAACATGGAGGGCCACGAAGACGATCAGAGGGTTGGAGTACCTCTCCTGTGAAGACAGGCTGAGAGAGGTGGGGGTGTTAAGCCTGGAGAAGAGAAGACTCCGGGGAGGCCTTATAGCAGCTTTCTGGTATCTGAAGGGGGCCTACAGGAAGGCAGGAGAGGGACTTTTTACAAGGGCATGTAGTGCTAGGATGGGGGGTAATGGTTTCAAACTGGAAGAGGGTAGATTTAGAATAGATATCAGGAAGAAATTTTTCATTATGAGGGTGTTGAGGCACTGGAACAGGTTGCCCAGAGAAGTTGTGGCGGTCCCATCCCTGGAAGTGTTCAAGGCCAGGTTGGATGGGGCTCTGAGCAACCTGGTCTAGTCGAAGGTGTCCCTGCCCATGGCAGGGGGGTTGGAACTAGATGATCTTCAAGGTCCCTTCCAACCTAAACCATTCTATGATTCTACATACGGTCCTAAAGAAAAAGCAAAATGAGACCAGCCTTTAAAATTTGCTGCTTTTTTTTTCAGTCTCCTACTTTTCACACTCTTGCCTTCACCTCCTCTTGAGAGTACAGTAGAGTGCAATGTCCTCTGATTCCTTCTGTTCATTCATCGTATTTCAGAAATGTGCATTTTTTACTTTCTTTTATACCCTTTTCCCCTTTTCTCCATAATCACCCGCGCTTTTTTTGTTTGGTTGTTTTTTTTTAATGTTCCTGTGAGTCATCTGTCAAGCAGCAGCAACTGGGGAAAACTTAAGTAACTGAAACATTTCTGTAGTTTTGCACTGGTGAAATAAGGAATAATGTTGACACAGCCTTTGCTTGAATTATAGTGATTTGAATCAGTTATTTCTTGATGGGTGCTAACAGAACCCAGACTGAACCTGCAGCTGAACACAATCTTATTTAGAGGGACAAAACCCAAATACAGTTTTACTGAACTCTTCAGTCCCTGAAGCAGGTCTGAAGGTTGTAAATGACAGTAATGGCCAATTAACTTGCCATAAATTGTCCTAGTGGAGGGGATATGCATACCACTTTGTAGGGTGCAAAAAATAACGTGACCACATGTAAATGTATTATTTATTATAATATTCACTACCAATGAGTACATTGTGTATAATTGATCTACGGGATTGTCTACAGCTGGACATTGTCTATATGTAACATAGTAAGGGCTTGTTTGTTGGGATTTTTTTTTAAATATACACGCAGGCCAGATGCTTTTCATATTCACGTAACTTACAGAAATCCTTTAATACAACACCACTAAATATGATAGGGAACAATTTGTATTGATTAGGGGTTATATCTTCAGCCCTCCTCTTAGGTCTTATAATTTCAGGCAGGATGGTGGAGGGTAGGCATGGTCTCTCTGGTGTGGAAACTATTGTGCAGGATATAACAATGTCTGTGCATTGTTGTAAGCTTTCATCAAATGGAAAGTGAAGTGCAAATAAAGGTGAATTGCACATGTGTTAGTGAATTTTTCAACAATTGCAAGGTTAGTATAGTAGTACAGACTCTGGAAATGTACCATTTGTGTTTTGGTATCCTATGTTGCTTTTTAAGGCCGTTCTGTAAAATGATTTTAAAGGTACCTTGGAGACCCCTGAACAATGGTTTAGGAGTTAAACAATACTAGTTCTTCTTTTTCTTTCTGAGAAGGAATATAGTATAAATTGTGTACAGGATAATGAAAAGGTTAAAATGTAGGGGGTTTATTGTTTTTTAGACCCGGCAACTTGTCACAGTCTGTGACTGCAAGCTGTTGGCAAATTCAATACATGGACTGAATGCTGCAAGGCCAGACTATATAGCTTCAAAAGCATCTCCAACCTCTGGAGAAGGGGAGCAAGTGATGCTGAGGAATGATCAAGATACACTTGTGGCCAGATGGACAGGAAGAAATAGCCGATCTTCTCTGCAGGTGGATTGGCATGAAGAGGAATGGGTATGTCTGCTTAGTGGAGTAATGAATATTTTCTTCTTTTTGGTTTTTGTTTGTTGTGTTCTTTTGTTTATAAGGTATGTAACTGCTCATCAGATAGGCATGGGATGAATGTTTTGAAGGTGTTGGTCAACTAGCAAAGACGCTCCCTCCATCCTATGCTCAGTTACTCCTTGGCCTGGGGATCCAAACAGGCCTTAATAAATATTTTTGGATCTCCCAAACAGCAGAGATTGTTGCAGTATGTGCATATGAAGTTGGTTCCAAGGGAAAGTAAATAGCTTTTAAAGTAAAAAACCTGACCATACTACAGAGGGCTTTTATACTTCTCCAAGATAAAGCATATTTTGCATATGTTAGCTGTAGAATTCAGCCTTCCTGGGTTTTATTCTCATCTAAATATTTAGAACTTGCAGTCCATCTCTGTTTTGATTATGGACGGCATTTTAAAACTGTTTGCACAAAGAATTTAAATGGTTTTCCTTACCACACTGCCAGTTGAAATGAAAATTGGGCTGTGTAAATTCTGTCATTGTGTAATATAAACAGAAGTGAATTAAATCTCAAAAGTAGTCCAGATTAATTAAAACCATTATTAATATTGTGAAATATCAATTTAGAAATGAGATCCAATTCATTTTGGAAATGGATCCTTGCTAGTTTTAATTGTTTTGACATACTTTGGCTTACAGTCAAACTCACAGTAATGAGATATGAATAAAGGCAACTCAGTTATTTAGGTAGTAATACAATACAGTATTTTTATCTTTATTCACTGAGTTATATAGGAAAAAAGATGCGTGATGGTATACAATTATTATGTCAAACATGAGTTTCATGAATAAACGATAGTGCCAACTCGAAATTGGAATAATAGTGCAGGAAGAGGCACTTAAAATTGTTCAACAAATTTACTTAGAAAATAGCTTTGCAATTTATCATGCTAGTCATATCGCTACATATTGTTGACATGCTGGTATACATTACTTAGATATCCAGAGTTTGTGTGTGCACATAGGTAAACAGGATAGCCCAAAGGAAACTTTGCAAAGGAATTGTGACTAGAATCATGGGAGGGAATACATTGCCAGGGGATTTGTTACCCAATGTCTCTTTTCTTTTTAAATTGAGAAAGAAATGTTTTCTTTTAAGGAGAAAGTTTGGTTGAATGTTGACAAAAGTCTGGAGTGTATTATACAGAGAGTGGACAAACTTCTCCAGAAGGAGCGCTTGCAAAGTGACAGCTGTGAAGATGTTTTCCAGTGTGACATCAGCTGTACTAGTAAGAAAGGTAATCGGGACACTCGTGCCTACTGGATAAATCCAGAAGATTTAAATGAGTCCTCACCATCTTCATCATCCTCACCACCACCTTCATCCATACCATCCTGTGCATGCCATTCTCTCACAAAGACAAGTGCGTATGCCAGACACTGCTTCTCACTGCTGCTCTCTTGCTGTGCGCTGGCATCATTCCTAAGCCTCCATTATGTCCTTCCGTGTGTTTTTAGTTCAGTGGTGGTGTTAAACACTGATGTCAGGCAGAAAGGGACTGTAGTATACTGGGAGCTGCTAAGCCCATTACTTATTTTGAAATCCTGATCCCACTGAAATCATTGCCAAATCCATTGATGACAGTGGCATTTGGTTTTCACACTGGGTGTTTTAAGCTGGTAAAACAGGTGTTTGGGCTAGTGTATGTCAAACACCACCTCTGGTAGCTTTCCTGTTGGCTTCAGCTTCTTTGCAGCAATTGAAGCTTATTGCAGTGATGAATAGAACATGAGAGAAGTGCAGGCACTACTGCAACACTAATGGTCCCAGCTGGGCTGCCAAAGCACAGGAGGGGAGCCAAGAAGTCCTGTTATACTGAGCTGAGCTTGGATAAACCTACTGGAGTTTAAAGCAAATTGTAACCAAAATTGTCAAAAGCTATGGGGCTGAGGCACTCGATTAGTTGGACTTCTTATAGGTGGAAGGTAGGAATTGTCAGTGCAAGCTCTCAGTGGAATAATCCTATCAAAATTTGAGGTAGAGTGGGTGCTGGATTTAATCCAGCATAATGGCATGAGCACGTGAATGAAAGATGTTCTTATCAATTTAGGATGACAGTTTTGCAGCCGTGCATTAAATTTCAGAATTATTTAATTTACATATGTACTTACTTGATTTATTCTCACATTCTTTACATGTGGTCACTATGATTTGGCCACTTTATAGAGCAGGTGTGCCAAGCTAAGCTCTAGAAAGATTTTTCAATTTCAAAAAAAAGCTCTAGAAAGATTTGTGTTTTCATTTCCTTTTCCTGTTCTGTCTTACTGTTTGATGGCCCTTTGTCCCTTACGTGTGTCTGTGACTTCATGTCCATCCCATTGTTAATGTTGCAGTGGAAGGCAGTACCTTAAGAAAAAGAAAGCAAGAAGGAAGTAAAAATAAATGTTAATACATTTTTGTGTAGCTTTGTTTATGTTACATATGATTTGCTCAGTATCTTAAATGGCCATGTTTTTCTAGATTAAACTGACATTTTTGTGTATTATAAAGGAATAGGAGAATTGGTTCTTGTTTCAGAATGTGTTTGCTATTAATCTTTGACTAAATTTCTTCTACCAGTTTGATAACTTTAAATGTTTTTGTTTGCTAGCTAATTTACATAAAGTTTTGTATGTATGCACCTCATATCAATGATTAAAAATTATGGGCTTTTAATATTAAAAAAGAATAGGAAAAATCTTTGGTGGGTAATACCAGAAGCTTTTCCCAAGACAATTCAATGCTGTAAGCATCTTAAAAAAAATCATTTTCTTTCCTTTTCAGTCAATCTTTTAAATCTACTCTGGATCTTGGTACTTCAGCTTTAAAGCTAAGGGGCTTGCTTCCCAGTGCTTCCTAAGTGTAAGGACTAGATCTGAAGTCTGACTGTCAACCAATGTTGGATGAATGTAACTTAAAAAATCCTAGAGAGAATCCTGTTTCTTAGGTAGATTTCTGGGGCAAACATTGTTCGTCAGTCTTAATGAGCAATTTGAATTGCACTTGGGAAGTTTATTGTAAGCCAGGGAAATCTGAATATTTGATCACATTCTCATCAGATGTAGTTCCTAATTAGTGGTCAGTATTTTTGACAGAGGAACAGGTTCAATACTACGAAAAAACCCTGATCTTACTGAAATCAATGGGAATTTTCCCACTAAGTTCCTTTCCTTGACTCCACACCATATCTGGCCTGTTAAATGGTTTTAAACTAAAATAGGGTAGATTTAGACTAGATATAAGGAATTTTTTACAATGAGGGTGATGAAACTCCGGCACAGGTTGCCCAGAGAGGTGGTAGAGGCCCCATCCCTGGAAGCATTCAAGGTCAGATTGGACGGGACTCTGAGCAGCCTGATCTAGTTGAAGATGTCCCTGCTCATTGCAGGGGTGGGGGTTGGACTAGATGACCTTTAAAGGTCCCTTCCAACCCAAACCATTCTGTGATTCTATGAATTCCCTTTCACTGTCACTTTCCCCAACTGATCATGGGAATAGTTCAGTGACAAAGAAGATCCTTTCTCTCAGCTCAGAATCACAACATTTTAAAGTTTTTTCTTGTCATGTATTCAAAGAACCAACACTTTTTATGTTAGTAATTCTGAATTTTGAATAAATGACACTGAGTAGAGAGCAGACTTGCAAAAAAGAACGTTGGTGTTTTTTTTGAAAGCAATGTAAAAAACAACAAACCAAGATAGTTCTAGAAATGGTAAGAGGGAGACAGTAAAATGTTATTGAAGGACTTCAGAGGATCTCTCTAGAAACAAATGTTTGTGAAGGAAAATACTGCCTAAAATAGTAGAAGGGAGACTTAAGAAATTCTTTTAACATTTAGTTTCGTTATAGGCATAGGTACTCATTGCTAAAATTGCATGGGGGCATATAGCTTCTTTAATGAACATGGTGAGTTTTAATTTACTGACAGGTTTTTATGTTGGATTGTCTAGCTCAGCTGATTGTCCTAACGCACACAATTGAATTTGATATTTTTTGTTGTTATTTTCAAATTTGTAATTCACTGACTGGTGAATCTAGATACAAACAACAGAATTTTAAATCCTGTTAGCTTAGTAAACTACTTTTCATTAATGCAAGACTTGCTATAACAGGGTATGTATTATTTTTTTACTGTTTGCATTGTACTGTAGTGTATTTTCATCTGACAGCTTGTTCCTCCCATTAAAGTGAGTGTGGAACACTCACAGGCTTCACTGGTGAGGTTTCAGCCCATTAATATACAATCTAATGCTTTTGTTAACTATTTCAGAAATTACATAACCGAGATTTGTCTAAGATAGCAAAGTACTTTTTCTTTACTACCTTTGACTTGTGGGTGCCTTAATGTCATTTTCTGTTAAGTGCATTGAACTTACTGCTAGTCTTTTGCTATTCTGTTTAGCAGCCTTACTGCCAGCTTATTCTATAATTGCACTACACCAGTGGTTCTCAAATTGTGCCCTGTGGATTGCTGGGGATTGACAGTGCGCTTGCTGGTAATCCACAGAGAGCACCTGAGCTAGCAGGTACTGGCTTTCCTCCAAGCCCCCATCCGGGTGTTCCTCTGATCAGGAGGAATGGAGGAGACAGCCCATGCCCTTGGTGCCTGCAGGCAAAGGAGTATCTCTGCTTAGCTCCTCTTCACTCAGCTAAAGTGTTTGAGAACCCTGGAATTGAGCATTTGAGTTGCTTGTGTTTAGACTGTGTTGCTGCTCTTTAATCATGCATGTTGCCCCTCCATTTCTGTGCAGATTGCAGCCCTACTCCGGAAGAATCCGGCCCAGGTATGTGCATTCATGGCTTCTGCTTCTTCTGAAAATTGCAGGGGTTTGTTCATAATTAACAACTGAACAAGTGCCTTGCTGTTAAGATTGACCATTTTGAAATGGTAATCCTCTGCAATATCACGTGAGTTACCTAAGCATACTGAGAAATTACTGTTTCCTAAATAATAGTGCGAGGGGCTATCTGGTAACTTCTCATGTCCAGGTGGGGGAGAGCACTGGTTCATGGTCTCTTTGGTTTCTCCAGTTCATGTGTTTTAGAAGACTGTTGTAGGTGACAATGATTTGAGACCTATTCCAAATGTTATTGAAGTCTATGGGAGCCTGACATTTCAGACATGCCCTTTCATATGTGCTGTTGAGCTGGCCTTTCTGAATGAGAACTCAAGCAGAACATGGAGCAGTCAACAAGGGTGATGGAAAATCTCTGTTGTGGGTACGCACCAAGCGGTGTTGGGCACTGCAAATCTAATGTTTCAGAACGCAGAATTTAGGAGACTTTCATCCCACTGTTAACCTTCATTCCTCTGTCCTTGTACTTCCGCACACTTGTGTTGCATTTACAAGGTCTGAATAACATGCCTGTCTTATACCACTCTCTCACAGCTAGATGGCTGTAACTTCTCCCATTTGAGAGTAGTGTAGTCTGAGTGCAGTGAAGGTTCAGTCTTTGAGCTCTTACAGCATGGGCTCTTGGTTTTAGTAAAACCAATGGGAAATAAAGCCCCAGTGCAGGTATGATTTTCAGCTTAATGAAGTACGTTAATGTTCTTCTTGGCTATCCACCCTGTTTCCTTCAATCACTGAGAAAATGTTTTTAAACAATAAAAAACTCCACAAGTTTTTCATTCTTGGAGTATCCCTTTAGTTTTGCAAAACAGAAATGTGGTGCATAGATTAATACTATTTATTTATTTTTAAGATGGGAGTAATTAAAAGCAGTCAGGTCACCCCACCTGGGTACCCAGATACACCCAAAACAATCTTAAACTTAAGGGGCTGAAGCTGCAGTGTAGCGAAGCACTTAATGCTTGCTTCCCTCTGAAGCCAAATGTGACGTGACTGTGTGCTTAAGTGGATTGCTGATTGTACTTTACTGGAACAGGGCTAAGCAACTACCACTTATTTAATAAATCTCTTTTTTAGAGATCATGAGTCCTTTTAACCCTGATGTAAACCAAGGGCAACTGTGGGTGCCCGGTACATTGACTTATGGATGCTAGGGTTTTTTTTAATGTGAAAAGACTGAAAATGTCTTTTCGAGGCTCTGGAGGACGGTTAGTTTAATAATATTTTTATTGCCCTAGAGAAGAGAGACTCTTAGGGGGGAAAAAAGCAAAACCTTTTCCCACCTGATATTACATCCTTGATTTATACAGGCTTTATGTATTAGATTCTCTTGAGAAGACTTTTTTTAATAAAATAGTCAGTAGTGTACAGAGAAGGTCCACTATGTGAACTCATAGGCCTTCCCAGCCTCCCTTGCTCCCACCCTCCCTCTCTCCCCTCCTGCCCTCCCTCCCACCTGCTTCCACCCCTTTTCAAAACGCCACTTCTCAAAGTGTACATTAAGGTATGTCTTTGCTCAACAGCAGTTATAAGAAAAATAGCAAAGATTTACAGGGTCAAGTTGGGCCCTTATTTGCCAGCCAGAATTCAGTTGTAGCTGTTAGTGTGGCGACTACAGGATTTTTCTCTTGCTGTACAGTATAAAGTACTTAAAGTAAATTATAGGCATCCTGCTGGTTTGTACAATGCCAGTTTTTAAATGGCATGTCTTGGACCAGGTCTCCAGCGGCTGTAAATCTATAACAACTTGTTGCATGTCCATTGTTTCAAGCCCTACACCAAAGCATCCTACCTATGGATCTGCCCAGTGGAGTCTATAATATTTTTTAAAAGTTTGTGGTCATCTCATAGAATATAACAGCAGAGCTCAGAGTAGATTTCACATTAGAATTAGTGTGTCATGGTGTTTGAAGGTACCATTGATTGATTTGATAGAAAATATACTTTCAGTAATAAAGTTCTGTTAGGAAAATAATTGAAGGGAAGACAGAAGGACGGGAAAATCCAGGTGAAAGTTGAACACTTAAGGTTTTTTCACATTTATTTAAACTCTGCCAATGAAATGTTCCAACCTGATTTGAGCCTGGGAGTGCAATTCATTTTATTCCTGTTTATTGTTAATATCACTACTATTAACTAAAAAAATAAGAGAACACGGGTGAAGTAGGTAGCTAAAAACATTTAGAATTTTGCAGGCTGACATGGGTTTGTTTTTTCATGGCCAAAATTTTAAACCAAGAAAATACACAGCATAGAGGATTTTTGCTCGTTACCCTGGATAAGCCACTGCATTGCATGTGAATGTTGGGAGGAAAAAAAACATGTAACAATCACTTTAACTTCAGGCAGGCTGGTATACCAGCAGTGTACTTTGTGATTACCACAGATAAACATATCTTTCAAATGAAGTGCTGCCAGACACACTACAATTTTAAATCTCCACTGACTTAATAACTATATACATGTATGTATATCCAGGCTTTGAGATGATGATGATGATGTGCTGGAAGATCTTTTCAGTTCTTTTTGTCATTCTCATTTGTTTATAGAAAAGCTCTTTAATACAGCAAGAGAAACACTATTAGTATCCTCTGTGTTTCGCTTCTTAAGTATTCACAGGGCCATGTTATGGCATCTGATTTATTTTGAGAGAAAATAGTTAATAGAATATAAAAACTAAGCTGCAATTCCTCGCCTGTTCTTTTAATGTTTCCTGCATTTTTTTGTGGCAATGGAATAGAGCCAAACAATTTCCTTTTTGTGTAGTTAATTAGGTTATCTATCTACTGCATAGAACTAAAGGAAAAAGGGTATTTCTGTTAATCTTGTCAGTTATGTTTCTGTTAACAAACTTCCAAAGTTCCCCTCTTTGGCTTGTTATCAAAGAAACTTTTATTATTACTAGCGCTTAGTCCTGCCTTTGAGTCAAAATCCCAAACAACTTCCTTTCAGGGACTTGAAGTGTCCCATTCATGCAGGTTCTGATCTGTACATTGCCTTGTTCCTACAGCCAACCAGGCTGGGAGTTGTGTGTGTTCTGTTTGTGAGCTCCAGTGCTTTTTAAAAATAAAACACATTGTCCTTCCCTTTGAAAGAGAAGTGTTCTTCTGTTTCAACCTTACATTAAGGAGGGCAAAACCAAAGCACTGTTCTATTTGCTTTTTATATTGCAGAATGGATTGTGGCATAGCATCTGAATAATTTTTCGTACGGTCATGGAAATGGGTTTTTAAAATTGGTGGTTGATTTAGACAAAAGATGAAAGAAGGAAAGAAGAGAAACTGAGTTTGTGGGGCATTTTAAGGCAGAGCAATCTCTTAGGGAGAAGGAAGGTATAATGTTTGGGCTACTAAAATAGGAGTTTTGCAACCCAGTTTAATTTCTGTGCTTCCTGTGTAGGACCTTGAACAGAGTCCCTCTGGGACATATCTCATGTATTTCAGTGGAAGTCAAGCTCCAAACTACTTCCAATGATCTCGCTAACTCCCATCTAAATCAGTTTACTTAGTGTTGCTTGCTAGCTAGCTCTAAGCCTTCAAAGCCACTCAGCAGACAGAGGACACTTAGAAGAGTACCTGCATGAGTTTTTCATCTCTCTGCCATATTATTCCTGTGCGGCAAATGGGAGATAAGCATCTTCTTACCTCACTGAGGTGCAACAATGATCAATAAGGTGGTGAGGCAGTTGAATGATACACCTATGAGCCCACAAAAGATTCAAAGGCAAGACATCTGGGAGAAATCTCATTGACAGAAATGGCTAAGCAGATTGTTCACTATTTATGTTATACGATGGACTCCATACTGTCTGTCAATGTATGCACTGTGAACGGGTATGTTTGAACATGCATACACAGTGATATGCACTTGTGTATATAGATATTAATCTTTCTGTTATACTTTCCAAATCAGCTATTGTATAGCCTGTTCTGTGGGCACAAATCTGGGAGCTATTACATGGTCAGGAAAGTCATAACAGCCTTGCAGAGTAAAATTCTCCATATTTTCCTCATGCAATAACCACTCTGTAAGATTACTTAGTTAATAACAAGAAGGGAGTAACCAGCCAGCCAAAGTAAAACAAGCCCTAACTGTGAATTATCAACAACTTTGACGTGCAACAGGAATTTTCTTCTTAATGCATGTTTGTTTCAAATAAAGTACTTACAGTGCTGCTAATTTTTGTCTTTTAACCAGGTGAATGGAGCGAAGCTCTTTATCCCTTGCTGACAACACTCACAGACTGCGTAGCCATGATGAGTGACAAGGCAAAGAAAGCCATGGTCTTTTTATTAATGCAGGACAGCGCCCCGACAATAGGGCTCTGTCTAAGCCTTCAGTATCGCAGGGATGTTGTCTTCTGCCAAACTGTAAGCAAGCAAATATGCATGGTTTGATTGCACTTCAGCATGTGGTGGGGTTTATATGAAATATGAAAGGTGACCTTTTTCAGAATTTTTCAGATCTATTCTATTCTCAGGTTTAACACTGTGATCTCCTTTCACAGGCTGTGCTATACTGTCCTTACTGGTCACTTACATGCATTTGGCATTATATAACTTAAGCGTCCCCTTGGATATACATTGTCTACTTAAAAAAAAAATAAAATCCAGAACTAGTGAAAATATCTTACTGTCTACAGAAATAACCTTTGCCTTCCAAATGCCACCAAACTAAAACCAGAAGTAAGATGTGAAAGAGGGGGAAAGAATAGCCCATGAGCAGAAAGTGTACTCATTTGGTTACCTTTTGTTGTTTTCTGCATTGAGAAAACCAACAGGACCTGCAGTACCTAAGAAGAGAAGTCCAGCTACAGGGAGAGAAATGACTGGTTTGGGGGTTTTTTTTTCTTTCTAGAAGTTCTGTTTCAGAGCCTGCCGGGGTCTCTTGTGTCAGCCACTGACTAGCAGGTTTCTGCACTAAAAAACCTTCCACATTTCTTCTGTCTACTATACTTCTGTAGTATGTCTACTTCCTGTGAAATCAGTATCTCATTCATTTATTTCAAACAGCTTATCTCTTGGACATTGTTTGGTAGGACTGTTGTCCCAAAATGTGATATCTCATAGAGATAAATTAAGGGAATTTTTCTATACAAAACCCACTTCATATTGCAGATAGTTTTAAAACTCAATGCTTTGACTATGTTTACCCATCATAAACAGAACTTTATTCCCTTTTGTTTAATTCTGTAGCAAAGTCAAACACCTGTGTACATAACATACGGCAATCACCTGGGAAATTCCTTTGTTGACAGAGTGAATTAAGACTAGTACTAATCTTAGAACTTAGTACTGATCTTAGCACTAGTCTTCAGGACCTTGTCCTGAGTATCTTTTAACACTAGTGTTTGAATCTTTGCATAAAGCAAACAGGTATTGCATTTTTAAGCTTTTTAAAAATGTTATTTTAAAAAAAAATAAGTTCATTCATACTATCAAAATTCATGACCTGGAACTAGCTGTGTTGCTTTTCCATCTGTAACTAAAACAGTTCTCCCAGGAGACTCTTTTGTAATTCGTAAGTTGTAGACCCTAATATAAGTGATTGTGTCCAGAAATCAAATAGATGTGAGATCAACAGTAGTCTCACTTTGGGAGAGCTTGTGAGATGAAGGCAGTGTGCCCTAAATCTGTTTTTATGAATGTTTTTGATTTTTGTTGGTTGGTTGTCTCTCTTCAGCTGCAAGGAAAAGAAGAGTGGCATTTAAGGGAAAAGAGCGTCAGTCTGACAGATTTTATGGCACCTCTCATATGTGATATTGTTTCCATTTGGGGCTGAAGAACCTTTTTTGTCTTGCGTCATTTCACTCTTGTCTGTTTTCTCTCCTGCAGCTGACAGCTCTCATTTGTGGTTTTATTATCAAGCTGAGGAACTGTTTGCACGATGATGGATTTCTAAGACAACTCTACACCATTGGCTTGCTGGCGCAGTTTGAGAGCCTGCTGAGCACTTATGGTAAAGGCACAGGGCAAGTGGGTGGTATTAGCTGTTGAGTCAGCAAATTCTCCATTAAATTGGGTACAGCAGAATGAGTATTTGGGACAATCTGCAGCTTGGCTACAAAATGATTTTGAAAACTGAAATGCAAACCAGATTATATTTGGAGTACTTAATTAGATAACAACTCTGAATTTCTTCACATTTAATTGAATTACTTCTGAAAGATAAAGTGTACTTGCCTTATAATATAATGTCAAAGGTTTAAAAAAACTCAAAACTTATCGTAGTGATTGTTTTTTTGCTTTTTTGGGTTTTTTTTTTTCTGAAAAGAAGTGGATTAAAGTTCTAGTAAGCTGGGAGAAACTGTGCCCAAAATATGCGTTTTGAATTTTCTTGACCTACTGTAGTCCTACAGTACAAAGTTAGATTGAAGAGAGAATACAAAAAAGGAAAGTACTTCACTCGAAAGTGTTTTGCTCCTGTGTCTGAACAGCCATCTGGATGCCAGTTAGGGAATGCTTTACTGAACAAATCTGGAATATCTTGTAACTTTTCCAGCACACTTTTCCAACACAAAGGATATCGTGGCTGTGACAACGCTGAGAAGTACTTATAGCATCACCTAAATTGGAAAATCAGCATATAATCTACTTGAAGAACAGTAGTCTGGACTGTGGTAGATAATTGGTGTTTTCTAAACTTGCTAAACTCATAGTCAGTCATGACATTGTCTGCAGTCTGTAGGTCAGTGTGAAGGCCTGGGCTCCAGATCCTCTTCGTCCATAGAACTTCTTTATGAGAGCGATGACCTACAGTCATCATCAAATTGATAAAGGGAAGTTGTACGTAACAAGTAATGATTACGATTCACTTTTTCCTCCTTGATTTAGGTGAGGAGCTGGCAATGCTGGAGGACATGAGTTTGGGAATCATGGACTTGAGGAATGTAACCTTTAAAGTAACTCAGGCCACATCAAATACATCTACTGACATGCTGCCAGTCATCACTGGAAATCGGTAAAAGAAATGCAGGGGGAGGGAGCAGGAAGTGGGGTGGGACTGCAAGTGGGAGAAGAAGTGATACTGTACTTGAGATGAATTATGTGCTTTTGTACTGTGCTGATTTTCTCCTCAGAACTTTGAAGAAATGCTTTGAAGTGGACTTACTCATTTTTACTGATGTTTCATTTTACAGGGAGTTAAGCTGAAAAGAGATATATGGCAAGGCTGAAACCATGGCAGTATTTTATGAATAAATATAAACTTGACCTAGCCTTCCACAATCATAAGCGAAAAGTATTCAATCTTTTCTTGAGCACTTGTGCTGTTTTTAAATTTCAGACTGACTTTTGAGGCTGATCTCATTGTCTGAAATTCACTGCTGTCGATCAGTGCTTTACTGTATGCCACTGACTAATGGGCCACTTTTAGCACAACAGGACACAGAACGTGTATCAGGCAGCTGACAGGCTGCTGCTGAGGTCAGGCGTATTTAGGATCAATTTCCAAACTACCAAGGCTAAGCTGGCTTTAACTTACAGATGCTTGTGAAACATCAGGCTGCTGCTCAGTTTGGCCACTTGTCTGAAAGGAGATATTTTCAAGATTGCTTAAAAGCAATTTTTGTTTTAAAAGTCTGAAGTAACAAACATTCACATCCTCACATAAAGTGGAGTGGGAGTGATCTGTTACAGCTTTATTAGGATGGGAAGCATTTACAACAGAGTCGCGCTTCAGTTGGAATGCTGCAGCCTGCTTATCAGCGGGCCTTGCACTGGTTTCTGCCATGAGGCTGATGGGCTCCTGCAGTAGAGTTCTTGCCCAGAGGGAGACAGTTCACAGATGGGGATGAAGCTGTGGAAGGACAGAGGCCTCAGAAAAGTTAATGTTTTAATGTTTCTTTTTTTCAAAGTCTTTTGAATCTGATTTCTGGAGGAGATAAGGCTTATTTGATTACAGTGTGCTGTACCAAGCTCCACTGGAGCTTTGCCCGGCTTTGTCCACATCTCAAAAAGAGCTAGAATTCTCAAAGATAAAAACATTTAGAGGAACTTTGTTTAATTAAGGTTCACGTGCAATGAAAATTGGCCCAGCTGAAGGAGGTCTGCAGTACAATCATGTATGTTACGGAAATTGCTGAGACCTGTGAAAATGGCTGACAGCTGACAGCAAATTCCTTTCAAAGAAAATCTTCAGTTGAAACTTGCCATCAGCTATAGGACACTAATCATCAGGAAACCAGTCTTCGTTAGTTTCAGGTCTGATAGTGTTACCTATTATTTTGCTGTCTAGATTTTACTCAAGAAAAAGAAGAAAGAAATCATGCATGTTTATTTTGGTGCAAACTATTGGAAGCTTTACATTTAGAGGTGAAAACAGGTTTTTTGCTTTCAGACATAGCATAAGATTTGTGTGTCCCTCCAATGTAAATGTGGGACAGACCAATTTTGATTACCTTGTAATATACTCCTCAAAGCTCTTTTGCTATACTTGAGAGTACATGCTGTACTTGAGCGTTCTGCACTCTAAAGACTTGGATGTAACACTAAGGTATTGCTGCTGATAGGTTAACACACAGCACACAAACCACAATAACTTGTGTCTTGGCATTTGCAACATAGGGTAATATGACATACCTTAGTCTGCACTGATGTTATAGGATAAGATAAGTTGCGTTACCTCACATTTGCCATGAGATAAAGTATACGCAGTGCTCTTTGCTGTAGCTCAGCTGACCCACGGTAACCTGTTGTGCTGCAGGAACGGCTTGTTGGTCTGAGTCGTAAGTTTCTGTATCAGTGCTTTTGTTAGCTCCCCCTTCAATTTATGCTTATCATTGCCTCTATCCTTCTGCTCAGAATTGTCAGTACTACTGACTGTGTATAAAAATGTATCCTTTTATGCATGTGCATCGTCACTAGCCTTTATCACTTTAAAATCAAATATGCCTTACTCTTGATGAGATGGGAACATGCCAAAATTTGACTTTTTCTACTCAAGTTGTACAAAAGCTGCAGTATTAATGAGCAGAGCAAAATCAGCTTTTGTCAGGAAATCAGCAGATCTGGTTGAAATGTCCATGAGGATGTAAAAATCAACATTACAGGTTGCTGCAGGTTTGGTTTTGAACTAGAATAGCTTTTCTGATTAGGAGCAAGCTGTGGCAATTCCTTGAAGTCCTCGGTTTTGAATGATACTTATTTTTTAATAGTTGTATTATGTTCTAGATGTTATCCCTCTTTATATAAATAACACATTCTTGGAATGTAGCTTTTTGATCTTTATATCTAATAGCTGTTTATTTATTTGCAGTGATGGATTTAATGTGAGGATCCCTTTGCCAAGCGCCTTGTTTGATTTGTTGCCGCGAGAGATTCAAAGTGGCATGTTACTGAGGGTTCAGCCTGTTCTTTTCAATGTGGGAATCAATGAGCAGCAAACCCTAGCAGAGAAGTATGTATTCAGTCATGCAAGCTCAACCTTAATGGCGGTTCCGCAGTCTCCTGTTCTGATGGACGTATGTCTCTATGGAGTTGCACTGTTGCATTACTAACAGTGATTCAGTTTCTCCAATACATGAACAAGGGAATACTAAATGAAGCTGTCAAATGCAACACAAACAAAAGGAGGTCCTGCTTTATATGGCACATAGCTGTGGAGATCCTTACCTCATGGCTTTGAGTCTAGTGCAGATTTATGTGGTTCAGAAGTGAATTTACAGAAGAGGAAACATATCACGGGCTGTTTAATACAGAGGTGCTGCTTGTGACTTGAGACCTCTGTGAGTGACAGATCACTAGAGGCTAAGAGATTATTCTGAGTATTGATGTGTATTTGCCCTCTTGGTTCTGCACTATTCCTAGACTCCCTCTTCTGACCACTGTCAAAAACCAGGATAATGGGCTAGATGGACTTTTTTTCTAATATATCTTTGCAGTGCTTCTATAATGCAACACTATTCTTGTAAAGCTGAAAAATATAATTATGTAATTATATTTGCGGCAGAAACTGTTCGGTTTTGGAAGAGCCACCAGAGCTTCCCCTCTGTTGTGGCCATGACCTGTAAAGAATACATTGACAGAGCACTGCTGTAATGGAGATCTCCAGTGAAGTCAGGCACATGTGTGTTGTGACAGCAGCCTTGGTAGTGGGGTGAAGTGTGCAGTGTGATGGTGGACAACTAGAAAAAGTCTAACAAAGGCATTCCAGCAGTTACTGTTGTCCTCTGTTGCCTATAAAGGGAGCCCAAGGTAACTAGCATAGTTACAGATGTCAACACTTTGTGTGCATATTTATGTATGTAGATACAGTTAGATGAGATGAATCATGACATAGTTGACAATATTTATTACATTCATGGTTTATTACTCCTAGATCCGTATTTCTCATTTACATATCTGAAGTCAAAGTCCTCAATACTCTCTACTGGTGTTATGGTTATCATTAGGTTATGAACTAAACTAGTAAATCCATTATTAAAAGTTTGAATTTAGGCAAAATGATTTACCAGATGGGTATTTAATATTGAAAGAGAGACACAAAAGCCAACACATTTTAAATACTATTTTCTACAAGATTTTTCTTTCACCTTCCTTCCCACTTTTCCCCTCACATTCATGTATTTTGTTTTTCTGTAATGAATCACTACAACACTTCTCTGTTACACTTTACTCTGCATTTGAATGGTTAGGAATTTTGTGGGATGCATCTTTAAACTGTTTTCTGATAGTCATATTGCCAAGTGCAGTTGTTTTAAAGAAGACAAGAAACATTCTACCTTGGGTTTAATTGTTCCCTTCTTCACCTTTTAAAGGTTTGGAGACACCTCACTGCAAGAAGTAATTAACATGGAAAGCTTAGTGCGGTTGAATTCATATTTTGAACAGTTCAAGGAAGTTTTGCCTGATGATTGTAAGTATTCAGTAATTAATGGCAAATGTGGTTGAACAGCACAATTCAGGCTGGGTTTTTTTCATTTGTTTGCCTCATGTTAGTTGTTTAAATGTTGATGATATGCCAGCATTAGTAACCTCCAAGAAATGATGCAGCTCTATTTTAATACATTAGTACTAAGTAGAGCAGATTCAAGAGGTTTAAAGGTCAGTCTGATTAATTTTCCTTTTTTAATATACTTTTACTTTAAATCTCTAAGTGGCATTATGTACTGTATAAACATGCAGCCAGGCAGTTAGATTGCCGTCAGGGGAAGGCATAAAAGTGACAGGTTATAGCAGCAGCACTTTTATGTGCAGGTTTTGGTCATTTTGTCTGCACCTATGATAACCTGCACAGAGAGCAACTGCGAGTTTTTAGGAAGTTAAATCACTTTGCCTCTGCTTATCCTTTGGTACTTGCCTATAATTGTTGCATCTGCAGCCAGCAGCAGAGAAGTCTAGCACCTGGAAGAGAAACCATAGCTACAAGCTTGAATTTCACTGATTATATAGGAAAATTAATTAATTAATTCTAAGCGCTGCAGAATTTCTAAGAAGTGAATTACTGTCTTAGCTTTGTTAGCTCCCTGTCCTTGTTCCATTAGCTCTCCTTCTCTTTAGAAATACTTGGGGAGATGGTCTGTGCACTCCTTTTATTTAAAGTTATTCCTTTATTTTTAGGAGTAGAGTTCAAGCAGAGCAGTTCAGGATAGGCACAATATTGCTAACCATAGAATAGAATTATAGGATCATTTAGGTTGGAAAAGACCTTTAGGATCATCAAGTCCAACTGTAAACTTAACACTACCAAGTCCACCACTAAACCATGTCCCGAAGCACCACATCTACACGTCTTTTAAATACTTCCAGGGATGGCTACTCCACCACTTCCCTAGGTAGTCTGTTCCAATGCTTGGCAACTCTTTCGGTGAAGAAATTTTTTCTAATATCCAATCTAAACTTCCCCTGGTGCAGCTTGTGGCTGTTTCCTCTCGTCTTATCACTTCTTACTTGGGAGAAGAGACCAGCCTCCACCTCACTACAACCTCCTTTCAGGTATTTGTAGAGAGTGATAAGGTCTCCCCTCAGCCTCCTTTTCTCCAGGCTAAACCACCCCAGTTCCCTCAGCCACTCCTCTTAAGACTTGTGATCTAGACTGCTCAGCAGCTTTGTTGCCCTCCTCTGGACACGCTCCAGCACCTCAATGTCTTTCTTGTTGTCAGGGGCCCAAAACCGAACACAGTATTCATAGAATTGTAAAATTGTCTAGGTTGGAAAGGAACTTGAAGATCATGAAGTCCAACCATCAATCTAACACTGGCAAAACGACCGCTAAACCCCGTCCACAAGCACCACGTCTACCCATCTTTTAAATAACTCTAGGGATGGTGACTCCACCGCTTCCCTGGGTAGCCTGTTCCAATGCTTGGCAACCCTTTCGGTGAAGAAATTTTTCCTAATACCCTATTTAAACCTACCCTGACATAACTTGAGGCCATTTCCTCTTGTCCTATCGCTTGTTACTAGTGAGAAGGGGTCAACCCCCCCTCTCTACAACCTCCTTTCAGGTAGTTGTAGGGAGCAATAACATTTCCCCTCAACCTTCTTTTCTCCAGTTCCCTCAGCCACTCCTCATAAGACTTGTTCTCCAGACCCTTCACCAGCTTTGTTGCTCTTCTCTGGACACACTCCAGCACCTCAGTGTCTTTCAAGGTGGGGCCTAACCAGTGCTCAGTACAGGGGGACAATCACTTCCCTAGCCCTGCTGGCCACGCTATTCCTGATACAGACCACGATGTCATTTGCCTTCTTGGCCACCTGGGAACACTGCTGGCTCATATTCAGCCAGCTGTCAAGCAACACCCCCAGGTCCTTGTCTGCTGGGCAGCTTTCCAGCCTTGTTGAATCTCATCCAACTGGACTTGCCCCATCGATCCAGCCTGTCCAGATCCCTCTGTAGAGGCCTTCTACCCTCAAGAAGATCCCCCCCCCCCCGCCTTGGG